CAGATTGTATTTAAACTTAAGTTTTTCTTACGACCTTAACCAGGGTGTCTGATTTTGACGTCACTTAAGGTGGATTACGTCATCTTTACATCACAAATATGGATTAAGCATCCATGAAATCAATTCCATTATGTCAGCTTTTTTTAAAAACCTGAAAAGTTGGGGGGAGGTTAAACCCATAACTCACCCCTCTAGCTATAGGCTTGGATGAATTCCATGGATAGTGGGAGACTAAAGGAAGGTGGGCTTTTTTCCCCATCATGTCTCTGCTCTTTGTTGTAAAATTCAAATGACCATGTTCTGATATATTCTTCCAGTGCAATATATTTCCTCTCTGTGTATGTGAGTATATAACTCAAGTAAATGCCAAAGGAGACATCATAAATATTTTGAGAACACATGGAATGTGGCATTTAATATCAGTCAGATGGAGAGGGTTGAGATCAGACTGACATTTGTAAACTGTCACCACAGGCTCCACGCTTGAGCTCTTCAGCTCTGGATTTGAGTCTTAGGAAACTAGTATTCTTTTATTTTCAAAAAATGGATGGAGTGGGGCAAAAATAAAAAATAGGGTGTCATAAAGTTGTCATTTTTGAAATTAAAGTGATTAAGAGTATTGGCACTCCTTTTATGCCTTTAACTTATTTTAAATAGTTTTACATAAACCAGTTACTTGCCTTTTTATCTGTAGGGCTGTCAATTTGCATCAGAAACAGCTGGCATCTCTGGCTGACTGTCTTTGACTGTGTGCCAAATTATCTTCCTTGGGGAAAGTAGTATTTGGGGGTAATCATAACAAATAATAGTAAATTTTATTTATATCCCCTCACCATCCCCCTGAAGGAACTTGGGGCGGCTTACAAAGGCACTCCAGGGTGCATATATAATATACAAAAGGTAAAAATGGTACAGGAGTATTAAAAACTCACATAAAATTATAACAACAACCCCTGTCAAAACAAATAGCATAAAATCAAAATAATACATTTTTAAAAAAACAACAACAGTAGATAGAACTAGCTGGCTTCAATTCACAAAGTGTCAAATGTTAACTTCATATGGGTCCATTCAGCCTACTCGAGGACAAAAGCCTGTTTGAACATCCATGTTTTCAGGTTGGAATTAAAGTATTGAAGGGTGGGGGTTTATCTAATCTCTTTTGGGAGGGTATTCCATAGCTGGGGGCCACCACCGAGAAGCCCCTCTCTTTTGTCCCCACCAACCATGTTTGAGACGGTGGTGGGACTGAGAGAGGGGCCTCCCCTGTTGGTCTCAGAACCCATGCCAGTTCGTAGAAAGAGTTGCAGTCTTGAAGATAAGTTGGACCTGAAGCATATAGGGCTTTATAGGTAATAACCTGCCCCTTGAATTGAGCCTGGAATTCATTGTATCTACTCTGACTGGGATTTAGGTGTATTATAGTACAGTTGACCCTCCATATCCATGGGCTCTGTGTCCACAGATTAAACTACCCACAATTTGAAAATATTTTTTAAAAAACACAACCCCAAAAACCAAAGCTTGATTTTGTCATTTTCTATAAATGACACCATTTCACTACACCATTGTATAAATGGGACTTGTATATTTATGGATTTTGGTATTCATTGCTGGTCCTGGAACCAAACTCCAGTGGCTACATAGAGCCCATTAAAATGATAACTAAACACTTTAATACATTTCTATGCCCAGTGTTAACAGATTCATTTTAAACTTTATTACTGATTAACAAATTAAGTATTTTCTCTTACAGTATAAGATGTGTATACAAGGGCCTTTCTCACATCTCCTACACAAAATGTATAGTTTCAGCATTGGGTGCATATAGTGACTTAAGAAACTACCAGATCCAATGGTGCCATAAAATATAATCAGAAAGCTACCTGGCTCAAAAGCCCCTAAATCATGAAGCATATATTTTACTCACTCTTGCTGGGTGGCTTTGACATCTGGCATTTCTGTCAATGTTGTGAAATCTAATAGCACTGGATATGTTTGTCAAAATAGATAAGAATGAAAGGTACTATAACTTTTCCCCAGTAATATTAGGTTTCTTTAATTTCTACCATATTACAGTCCCACAAGTGACACTACCTTTCCATGGTGATAGGACTGCATGCATCAATGAGGCAAGAGGCTATATGCTGAGTTTTCCATATCAATCTGGTCTTTGCTGAAGAACCAAACTAAATGTTCCCAAAAGCTATTAGGCAGCACTAATATTGCAAGGTGATATTGACAGATTTCCTAGAGAGAACATCAGTGATATAATAGCTAGTTGTTAGTACTGCATAGAAGGAGGCATAGTAAATCTCCTTTTGGATATTTTTATCATGAAAAGACTGGTGATTGTCACCCAGAGCACCCCATGACTATGGAATGACCTGCCGGAAGAGCTCCAACAGCTAAATGAGGTGTCGGAATTTAAAATGTAATTCTTCCATCTCTTCCAGCAGGCCTACCCAGTCAACTTTCAATCATGAGTTTGATTTGCATTCTATTACTACTATATGCGAATTCTGTAGCTGTGTTTGGTTTTTCAGGTGTGTTTTTATCTATGAAATTTAGTAATTTATTGTATTTTTATGTTAATTTCTTTTTGCATATGTTGTACTCTGTCTCAAGCCATCAGGAGAGGCAAGCAATAAAGAAGATGCTTATTATTATTATTATTATTATTATTATTATTATTATTATTATTTGCTAATAAAACTACAGTGTAGATGGACCCAACAACAATTATATTATAGTACTGCACATAACTGACAAAGATTGTGGGTTACTAGTTTTATCATCATGTTTTACTTGTTATGTTGTAAAATTTCTATTGTTCAATCATTTATTTTATTATTAGCTTTCCAGTGTCATTTTTGTACAGGAATAAATAATTGCAGTTAAAAGGAGAAGCTTTAGATACTGAATAGCTGATATCTAACTGATATCTAGCCTCCCCTACTCCCCGACATCTGTTAGGTTCAGCAGAGGACTTCTTTTTCTAACCAGGAATTAATCTAAGGCTTTAATCAAACATAAATAAAAAAACCCAGAAAGTGGTGGTGCTATGAGCATGGAGGTGATGTCCCCTTGAGCCTCTGACTGTTGTCCACTACTGTTACAGTGGGTTAGAATTGAGAACAATTGTGTTTATAGAAATACTTGTCAGTCAGGACAATTTGTTTTCTGGCTGATCTTTTTCTGACATCAGAGCTGTTCCGCTGACGAAGCTCTGCTGACAGAAATACAAAATAATAATAATAATAATAATAATAATAATAATAGTAGAAATGTGTGAGGCATGAGAAGAACAATTTCACTAAATCCATCTTTGGCCCAGTGATATTGCCACAGTGCAGGAAATTTTAGTCCTAAGTAATTCTCAACATCCATAAGCTGGGAGGGATTTTGATTTAACATAGGACCTCATCACACACACCCTGAGCTCCATTTCCATGCAGTTCAGAAATGGAGTCCCATGGAGGCCATCACATAACGTAAGGGCACTTCAAGTGGGACTCTTGATTCTCCAGCACATGGAAATGGAGCCCAGAATGTGTTTTCAGGAGTCATGTGCTGCCTGACTCCAAATGGTTTAAGTTGACAAAAGATAGAAAAAGGACGTGAGATGGCTGGCCATCCCAGAAGACAAATCTCAATGGAAAGGACAGAAATAAGACAGTTCACTCTGCTTTCCCCCACTTTCCCACCGCTCATAGGATGAGGTCCCTAGTTTCAGTTTGGCTAGTGGTGGCATTATTGGACCTTGCTTTATCTACCAGATGGATTGCGCTTTACATTAGGATTAACCGTTAGGATTGTGGTGGCAAATTTCTCATGTAGAATAATCTATTAGAGTGTGTAAGCATTTGACAGCCTATGGTAATCAAGTAATGAGAACAGATTCTAACTGAGAATTTGTGGAAAATAAAATGCATAAAGAGAAAATATTATCTAAATAGTGTTTAAAATGTCACAGATAGATTCTGTATCCACATGGATAGTTATGGTACTCACAGTTCTCTATATAGGCAGTCAAACAGCAAACGCATGAAACTGTACAGAGTTATAGCACAAAAAATTGCAGTGTGTGTGTTGCTTAATATCACTCTAAGACTGTAAAATGTGGAATATACATTTGAGAAGAAAATTAACTGTTCTGCGAAGCCATGTTTGAAACTAATATGATTTGCTGTCTTAGACTTAACTGAGCATGCAGAGGTTACACTAACAGAAAGCTCTGAAGATGACTATCAGTATGAAGAGGTAAGAAACAGGCAGAGCAATCTAGTGGGAAATGAAGAAATCAGAGCAGAGATGAAGCTGGAAGGCAGGATGGTCAGGAGAGAGTTCATTCTTTTCCTTCTTATTTTGCCTTTTCAGCTGGATTTTAAAAAAATGTTCCCATTATCTCAATCAGAAAGAATAAACTAGTCTGACTAGTCTGACCCCCCTGTTGCCACATTTCAGGGGTATAGATAAAGGAGGGCTTTGATTTCTCCTGGCATGTATCATTTTCCACCTCTCCAATATTAGAAAAGTATGAGTTGCAGAACATTATGTGGCTACAGAAAACTTCTACAGCCAGCCATCCTCATTCACTGGAGTTAGGGACACAGGACCCCTATGAAAGTTCATGAATAAAGAAATTGCTAATTTTTAATATCTGAGAAAACACCTCTCTAGGAATTTCTAGGTTTTAAGGTTCATTTGTTGTAGCTTTATCAATTGTTTAATTGTGTTTAAAATTATATCTATATAAATAAAAATGTAATGTTTGTTTGTGGGATTAACATAATTCAAAAACCACTGGATGAATTGCCACCAAATTTGGCCACAAAACACCTACTAACCCAAGGAGTGACCATCACTCAAAAATTGAGTTTGTCATTTGGGAGTTGTAGTTGCTGGGATTTATAGTTAACCTAAAATCAAAGAGCATTCTGAACGCCACCAATGTTGGAATTGAACCAAACGTGGCATACAAGACTCTCATGACCAACATAAAACACTTGAAGTGTTTGGTGGGCATTGACCTTGAGTTTGGGAGTTGTAGTACACCTACATTCAGAGAGCACTGTGGACTCAAACAATGATGGATATGGACCAAACTTGGGAGATATTCCATATGTCCAACTATGAACACAGATGGAGTTTGGGGGAAGTAGACCTTGACATTTGGGGGTTGTAGTTACTCGGATTTATAGTTCGCCTACAAACAAAGAGCATTCTGAATCCCACAAACGACAGAATTGGGGCAAACTTCCCACACAGAATCCCGATGACCAACAGAAAATACTTAAGGCCATCCAGTTCAACTCCTTTTATCAGGGCAAGAAAACGTAATCAAAGCCCTCCTGACAAAGAGCCACCCAGCCATAGATAGATAGATAGATAGATAGATAGATAGATAGATAGATAGATAGATGATTCACACACAGAGATATATCATAGATTTGAAAGGGACCCCTAAAGAATGTTGCATGTTCCAGAGTAAGCAAACCATACAATCTCCACATCAACACTGACAAAGAAACAAGAAATACTGTTTACTGACAAGCATAAAGATATTACATATACTAGAAACCAACATTTGCTCATTATTTTATTTTCCAGATCACCAGACTAGGCCACAGAAACGCATGGCAGGGGGGTGGCTAGTACATAATACTTTTATTGAAGCGTTCATATAGTTTTAATCTGTATTGAATCTCCCCTTTTCCTTTCCCTTCTTCTTGGCTTCCTCATCCAGCAGCCTTTGAGGAGGAACAGATCACTCTTTCCAGGGATTCAGACGTAGCACTTGCCAGAAATTTTTCCAGTATCCCCCGTTCCATACGTTTGTTAGTGGATGCACTGGATGAACTGAATGAAAATAAATGTGATTACTCAATCTAGCACAGACCACCATTCGTTTCTCAAACAGTATCTCTCCCGATATCAGAAAGAGGCATTACCCTGACTCTGTTGGCTATGTTCCTTGTATTTAGATGGTGAAGACTGAAACAAGGATGCAACAATGCAAAGACTGTTCTACCATGAATCTTGGTTCTCTGCTGACATTATCAATTATAGCAATTGCTTACAATGATTCAGCCTGAAACAGTGTTTGTGTATGCACAGGACTTATATTTGTTTATAATTGTGCTTTAGGTACCAGGAGACGATGACTTCAGTGTGCAGGAAGGTGATGAAGATTTGGCAAAAGCATTACACACTATGCAAGAACAGACTATTGATGCTCAAATTATGGTATACATTCTGCTCCTAAATATATATGCCCATCTTGTTTCATGTGACTTTACAATGTATAATGTACTACAACTGATATTCTGTCATTTGAAAGGTTATTTCAAGTTGAGCAAGCACATATGTTGTCTGAATTGAACTTTTAGATTAATAATGGTCACATTTCCTTGGATTCACTGGAATAAAACATGTAGTCTAGATGTTGTTGTTGTTCATTCGTTCAGTCGTCTCCGACTCTTCGTGACCTCATGGACCAGCCCACGCCAGCTCCCTGTCGGCCGTCACCACCCCCAGCTCCTTCAAGGTCAGTCCAGTCACTTCAAGGATGCCATCCATCCATCTTGCCCTTGGTGTGCCCCTCTTCCACTTTTCCCAGCATAATTGTCTTCTCTAGGCTTTCCTGTCTCCTCATGATGTGGCCAAAGTACTTCAACTTTGTCTCTAGTATCTTTCCCTCCAATGAGCAGTCGGGCTTTATTTCCTGGAGGATGGCCTGGTTGGATCTTCTCGCAGTCCAAGGCACTCTCAGCACTTTCCTCCAACACCACAGTTCAAAAGCATCGATCTTCCTTCGCTCAGCCTTCCCTAAGGTCCAGCTCTCACATCCGTAGGTGACTACAGGGAATACCATGGCTTTGACTAGGCGGATCTTTGTTGGCAGTCTGATGTCTCTACTCTTCACTATTTTATCGAGACTGGACATTGCTCTCCTCCCAAGAAGTAAGCGTCTTCTGATTTCCTGGCTACAGTCTGCATCTGCAGTAATCTTTGCCCTAGAAATACAAAGTCTGTCACGGCCTCCACGGTTTCTCCCTCTATTTTCCAGTTGTCAATCATTCTTGTTGCCATAATCTTGGTTTTTTTTTTGACGTTTAGCTGCAACCCGGCTTTTGCGCTTTCTTCTTTCACCTTGATTAGAAGGCTCCTCAGCTCCTCCTCGCTTTCGGCCATCAGAGTGGTGTCATCTGCATATCTGAGGTTGTTAATGTTTCTTCCAGCAATTTTCACCCCAGCCTTGCATTCATCAAGCCCCGCACATCGCATGATGTGTTCTGCATACAAGTTAAAAGGTTGGGTGAGAGGATGCAGCCTTGCCGTACGCCTTTCCCAATCTTGAACCAGTCTGTTGTTCCGTGGTCAGTTCTTACTGTTGCTACTTGGTCCTTGTACAGATTCCTCAGGAGAGAGACAAGGTGATTTGGTATCCCCATACCACCAAGAACTTGCCACAATTTATTATGATCCACAGTCAACGGCTTTAGAATAGTCAATAAAACAGAAATAGATGTTTCTCTGAAACTCCCTGCCTTTCTCCATTATCCAGCGGATATTGGCAATTTGGTCTCTCGTTCCTCTGCCTTTTCTAAACCCAGTTTGTCCATCTGGCAACTCTCGCTCCATGTAGTGCTAGAGTCTTCCTTGCAGGATCTTGAGCATTACCTTACTGGCATGAGAAATAAGGGCCACTGTACGGAAGTTTGAGCAGTCTTTCGCATTTCCCTTTTTTGGTATGGGGATATAAGTTGATTTTTTCCAGTCTGATTGCCATTCTTGTGTTTTCCATATTTGCTGGCAATGGCATGCATCACCTTGACAGCATCATCTTTTAAGATTTTAAACAGTTCAGCTGGGATCCCGTCGTCTCCTGCTGCCTTGTTGTTAGCAATGCTTCTTAAGGCCCATTCAACCTCACTCCTCAGGATGTCTGGTTCTAATTCCTTCACCACACCGTCAAAACTATCCTCGATATTATTATCCTTCCTATACAGATCTTCTGTATAGTCTCGCCACCTTCTCTTGATCTCTTCAGCTTCTGTTAGGTCCCTGCCATCTTTGTTTCTTATCATACCAATTTTTGCCTGAAATTTACCTCCAATGTTTCTAATTTTCTGGAAGAGGTCTCTTGTCCTTCCTATTCTGTTGTCTTCTTCCACTTCCATGCATTGCTTATTTAAAAATAGTTCCTTATCTCTAGTCTGTAGTCTAGATACAGTTGCATAATTGAACCAAATCAAATCTCATATTTGGCAATATATAATGAGAGTCCACAATAAAGGCTGAAGTAAATGTGGGAATTTTTAATTTAAAAAATGCTTTGGTAATTTATTGAATAGTCTCAGTATAAACTGGTTTCACTCTTTATAATAAATCCAATGGCATTATCATTTACATACTAAAGGGTGGAATTCAGATACATCTGGCATTTTTGTGATTTCTATTGCTCTATATGTGAGATAGAGAAGATTCAGCTAATGGAGGGATTCAACATATCCAGCATACAAAAAATGTCCTTGAAGAGTATAGAGCTCAGAAGTGGAAACAGATTCTGGTTGATTCTGGATTCTATTTTTGTGTGAAAATCCATTAGTGCAATCTGGTGCAAGGCTGAAGTGTTTAGCCTTTTCTCCCACTGCAGTTGCCAACTCCTGCTCAACATATATGGTTTAATAACCATCCTCTAGATAGTTACGCTTGTACACGTTATATAAATGCATAAAGAGAAATGCAACTTCAGGTTTGTTGAACAATAGATTAAAGTAATTCAATTTAAATAAATTGCATTTTGAAAGCTTTATATGAGGGGTCCTCAAACTTTTTAAACAGAGGGCCAGGTGACAGTCCCTCAAACTGTTGGAGGGCCAGATTATAATTTGAAAAAAAAAACATGAATGAATTCCTATGCATACTGCAGATATCTTATTTGTAGTGCAAAAAACCCACTTAAAAACAATACAATAATTAAAATGATGAAAATTGTAACAAATATAAACTTATTAGTATTTTAATGGGAAGTGTGGGCCTGCTTTTGGGTGATGAGATAGGGTTGTTGTTGTTGTTGTTGTTGTTGTTGTGTGCTTTCAAGTAATTTCAGACTTAGGTTGACCCTGAACAAGGGTTGAGTAAATTACCTTGAAGAGCCATATCCAGCCCTTGGGCCTTAGTTTGAGGACCCCTGCTTTATGTGGTTGTGCTTTGAGGTAGTGAAGGAAACTTCACAATAAATCAGTCTATTAAAACAAATCTCCAATTCATTAAAAAGTTCCTTTACCCAACTGAGTAAACTATTGTTTAATGACGTATTGTTATTGATGCTGATGATTTATTAATTTATTGTGTTCTCTTTACAAAAAAAATTATGGAGTGTATAAGAAAATAATAAAAGTATATATAATATCAGCTGCCACCAAAGAGTGAAAATTGCAATTGCAGTTGCTGAGAAATGTGGGATCTGAAGTTGCATGAAAATGAAATGCTTCGATGAGTCATTAGTATAACAATAATTATGTTTAATGGATTTTTATGTGCTATATGAGCAGGAATGTCTTGATTAGTTTTGCCATTGGTGCTGTTTCCTTATGTACATATATGGTACTAATATGTAAGAGTTTTTAAAGGGGTAGAAGAGTGGGATTTTTTGCTTTATTTTATTTGTGTATTTATTTTAATTTTTATTGTATTCTTGAATTATTTAAATACTTTTAAACCCTGTAAACTTGTGTTTTTAATTCTCATATTAAATCCAAGTGAATTGAATTGTATTTTGGCATTTATATTGAGAATTTTTAAAACTGTATTCTCTGTGTTTGTGTGTATATATATTGCTCTGGTTCCTATGCTAGGAGAAAGGCAGGATATAAGTTAAACAAACTAACAAATAATAAACATTCATATAACTCAGAGTGGAATCTGTCTGTAGAAACATACATGTGCAGTTGATATGGATGCATAAATATATCTATATCATTCTGCCAAGATGAATTTCTTTGAAACAGCTGGGTGTATCAGCTGCTGATATAGCAACACAAATATCACCCTGTGTTCCTTGCATGAAACTAGTTACATATTGTGTGAAGATGCGTTTGAGGTTTTTTGTTTTTTGTTTACTTTTTTATTGATCTAAATAAATATAGCCATAATCAGTGGGGTTTTTTTTCTTGGTGAACATGTATGTAAACATTTACTTATTTATTTTATATTCCATCTTTCTGCCAGTATGAGATCTAAGGCACCACACAATACACATTAAAACAAAACTAATATAAAAAAAAACATTCTTTAGAATTAAAAATCTTGAAAAAAAAGAATAAAAAGAATAAAGTATTTTATCTTATTTAAAACATTTAAAACAGACTTAAAACATTTAACATCAAACAGCAGAGTAGCTATACAAACTATATTTGCTGACTTCAGGACAGTTTGGAATGCATGACTTGAAAACTGGAGAAATTAATGGAGGTTCTCACAAATTGCTGTATGATACAAGACCACGGGAAATAAACTGCTGTAGTTAAGTATCTCAAACTGTAATTTATGTATTAAAGAATCCAAATAGCCTGTGAGCAGAAATTGTTTTGTGTGTGTGTGTGAACAGCAATTATGAGGCATACAGATTGATTATTTTTCTAATAGCTGCTCTTTAATTTTCTTTCTAGGCTCCACGACCAGGCCAGATTGCTAAGCCTCCTCTTTCTGAAACACCTGAAGTTGTGGATGACTTCCTCTGTAATTTTCTAATTAGAATGGGCATGAACAGGACACTAGACTGCTTTCAAACTGAATGGTAAATCAAATATATTCTTGCTCAGATAATTCATTTTCCCATGTATGCATATTTCTGTGGTCTCAAACACACTATAGTTGCTTTTTTATTGTAAAAAAAAACCCCCAAAGTTCATATGAACTTATAAAATATAAAATGCAAACATAAATAAAATGATGTTTTCAGAAAGCATGTGGTCATTTTTAACTTTTTTAAAGTGCTGTGTTCCTTAATTTAGGTTTTATATTGCGAATTCTTGTATTGTATTCTCTTCAAAAACACCTGACCTCAAGATTGAATGTTGTTATTTTACCATTAGAGATCTGAAAGACATTGTCTGACTGTAAAAAGTAGATATTTTTAGCAACAAATTTAGGAGAGTGCCCATCAACCTTCAAGCAGGACTCTGGCTGGATCTACTCTGCCCTATAATGCATAGTTAGAATGCAGATAATCTGCACTTTGAAACTGGATTATAGGGTAGTGTAGATCCAGTCTCTGTAATCAATTAGATGAATCTTTACTAGGGTAGGGTTCCATCTGTAAGGCACCTTAAATAAGGCATCTTTGCTTTGGTTTTAGAGGTTCTGTCCTTAAGCAATCTTGTTAGGTGACATTAATTAGACTATTCAGATCTGCTTCCTATGTAACTGTGAACCCAGTAGAGGTTTGATATTCCTCTTTAGCTAATATAAGTATAAGAGAGAAATTGGATTTTAAATATATATTCTAGGAAAGAAGTGAGCAAAGCCCGAACAACATGAAGCCCCCCAAAGCCCTAGAATTCCCAAAATTATTTAAAAATTTTGTAGCTCTTTTGAGGTGACCTTTCACTTGAAAACTGATCAAAACACCGTGAGTATTTTCAACCCTTCCTCACCGCCAAAGCCCTCACACTGGCAGAAGACACCCCAAGCAAACAAGGGCTGAAAATCAGCCAAAAACCCAGCTGGAGGTGACATTATGTCACCTTTGATACTCCAAAATGTGACACCACCATTTATGTAAAGTGTATCCATGTTCTGGGGCTATATGTTCAGATGCTCAAGCAGTGTGCCTTCCCAGAATAATTGATTCCATAGCACTTTGTCCTCCAAAGCACTTTACATTTTTTAGGTCTGCTCGTATGCCCTTCCACAAACACCACTATCAACTTCTCATCCATGTCCCAGCATTACTTCCAATTTTAATTTTACATTTGGCCTTCCCACTGTTTTAATTGTGTGTTGTCTTATTGATTGATAATGTTGTATATGTTATTGTCTATGTTTTATTTGCTTGTACTGTTGTGATTGCTTGTATTGTTGTGTTCGGGCTCGGCCTCATGTAAGCCGCACTGAGTCCCTTGAGGAGATGGTAGCGGGGTACAAATAAATTATTATTATTCAGTTCTTGTGGGTTTTTTCGGGCTATATGGCCATGTTCTAGAGGCATTTCTCCTGACGTTTCGCCTGCATCTATGGCAAGCATCCTCAGAGGTGAGGACCTCACCTCTGAGGATGCTTGCCATAGATGCAGGCGAAACGTCAGGAGAAATGCCTCTAGAACATGGCCATATAGCCCGAAAAAACCCACAAGAACTGAGTGATTCCAGCCATGAAAGCCTTCGACAATAAATTATTATTATTATTATTATTATTATTATTATTATTATTATTTAGCAGCTGGGTTACAAGCAGAGGCAAAAATCAACTCTGTTTCAAGTCAGGTAGAAGACACATCTCATATCTTTCTTGTCAGGGCTTCTCATTCAAGTAACTTGTACATAATGAAGTGCTGTCATATTCAACAAGAGACCGTTTGGTTCCTTCCTTCATAACTGGCTAATTTATTTAAATGAATTGGACTACATTTGGAAGAAGTGAAGGAGCAGGGGACAGGGAAAGTTTACTGACATTTTCACAGCTTCCTTATAAAAGCAGGTGTCACTTTCTGTACAGCTTAAGATGCCCCCAAATGAGGTGTGTCCGTTGCTTTGGATATGCCCATTTCCACCCAAACTATTTTTCTGTGGTTCAACAAATGGGATTCTAATGCCAAAGGGGTGACTTGGAACTGAAATGTGACAATATGGAGCTTAGGAATGAGGATTAGGAATGGGGAGTGTGGTGGAAGCTTTTAAATAGGCTGGATGGCCATCTGTTGGGGGTGTTTTCCTGTTTATTGGCAAGGGTTGGATTGGATGACCCATGAGGTCTCTTCCAACTCTATGATTCTATGATTACAAATCCTCCCTAATTTTGCCTATGATAGGAAGCTGTCGTTGTGAAACTGACCCTTTATTTTGGCGAACAAAGGATTCTAGCATGGTTTGCCCTAATTTTGAATATAGTAGTATCTTTATTTTGGCTATTCCCCTTATAAATGAAAGTGTTCATTTCTTATAATCAACAGGTGGATTGTAATCCATTTTAATTAATAGTAGTTATTTTCTTTAGAAGAAAGAGTAAGCTAGTTGCTTGGGGATATGGATGTGCAAGATTTCAATGAGGAATATCTCACATGATATCAGCATAAATGTGTACAACAGTAAGATTGTTTTGAGATATAACCTGTACATATAAAAATGGAATATAAAAATGTAGATATAAAAAAATGGAATCCCTTTTTGTGGCTTTGGCGGGAGCAAGCAAACATTGTCTGCAAAGAATTTTAGTGGACAAATATCCTTTCCTGCCTGGATTCTGTGAATATTTGAATCTGTTCAAAAAACCTATAGTAGGGATATATTTTTTAAACTGCACTATACAGAAACTGCTTCTTTCCCCTTTTCAACATTAGGAATCCCAGTAGGGGCTGTTGCATAATTTACATGTTTGCCAGAGCTACCTTAGTGCTTATCAATGTTTGCTGCAATAAATTCATGCAGTATTCATGCCACGTATTTTAAGTATTTAGAGAAACATATCTGTTATTCATATCTGAGTTGTTTGCTGTAGAAGACATTGATGTAGCTGTGGCAAAATAATTGCTAAATAGGTAAGGTAAGGCACTGAGACTTCGCTGTCCAAGCCAGGGGTGGACAGCTTTTGTTAGTATCCTATTTTAAATCTTTTTTAAAAATTCTCTACAAAGTATATTGTTACAATAGCTGTTTCACTGGACAGCCACTCAAAATAACTATCCTAGAAAAACTCTACTCAGATTATTCTCTTTTCCTTATCTTGAGTTGAGCAAAAATAAGTGATTTGTCATTGAGGTAGAAACCCTGGGTCATACTTTGTCTCTTAGAACTATGGTGGTAGGGCGTTATGAAGAAATTGTATTAAATTTGTGAAGAGCAGTATATAATATAGGATAAATTACACACTTTCACATTGATCTTTGACATTCTCTGAGAGCTGGAATCCTTTTATAAAACCATGATGTTACCAGACCATTTTTAAAAGATTCTTTGCTTACCAATTGAGCTAATACATAGGAACAAATTATTCTGGATTATCATTTACAATGATAAAGCACCATATTTAATTGTTTGTGAGTGGGTGTCCTAAACATGCATTTTATAAATGTTTTAAATTTGCTTTAATTGGCATCATTAATAAGTGAAAGCAAATTATAGTTATCAAATTTCTCTTTGTACAAGTATTTTTTTCCTGGCTAATATACAGCTGATTCGTGCTGTGATCAAACTCTAATGAGATTTGGAATGAGAAAATAATTAATGCTGAGAAAGTTGATTCATTTACACCTATAAGAGCTCAGATCATTTATTAAATGACTCTCTTAGATCTGAAAGTCTGTTTGAAAATTAATCTTTGATTAAATTAGGCATGATAATTGATGTATTTATAACACGGCTAGGAAATTCTTCTGCCTTTGACTCTTTGAATATCTACAAAATATCATTTTGCTTTCAGATAAATGTATCAACTGAAATATAACATTATTTTTATTTATACCACAGCATTGTATTGCAGTAAGCCACATGCAGAAATCCATTTAAGTATACATTTAAAACTATACTTAGAAATATATTTTTAAGTTTGGAATCAGATGAAGTTGCATATTTGTCCCACTGGAAAAATAAGCCATCTTGGTCATGAATCGGAAAACACCAGTACCTTATTATAACCCTTTAACTCTTTAGGATACCTGTGTCATCTCATTTAGGGCCAGTGGTACAGCCCTGTTCAGTTTCACATTTCCAAACAACAATATTTGTTCCTTATCTATTTTAAGTTTTAGTCTCTCCAAAACTGCATAATTCATTTTGGGCTAGAAACATCATGGGTTTATGTATGCATGACAATTTCCAAAGAATAAGACATAATGTATGACAGAGAGAAAATGCCAGAGTTCATATAGGCAATCTCAATGATATGCAATGGAATGAATTATCTAAATACTGGAATCCTAGCTTAGGTCTGTAAAGCAAAACTTAAAGGTTCTTTAAGAAAAGCTTTCCAACATATTTTTAAAGGTGTCCTTCCTTATGATCCCCTCATGTTTAAAATGTTAAAACTCCAGTATGCTGATGACAACGTCATCTGTTCGCATTCAGAAGAAGACCTGCAAGCCACTCTAACACCTTTGCAGAGGCATACGAGAAACTTGGCCTGTCATTAAGCATTGAGAAAACCAAAGTGCTCTTCCAGCAGTCACCGGCTAATCCCTCTCCAATGCCAGAAATACAACTTAATGGTGTAACATTAGAAAACGTTGACCATTTCCGCTACCTTGGCAGCCACCTCTCCACCAAAGTCAACATTGACACCGAAATTCAACACCGCCTGAGCTCTGCGAGTGCAGTATTTTTCCGAATGAAGCAGAGAGTGTTTGAGAACCGGGACATCCGTAGGGATATCAAGGTGCTTGTTTATAAAGTCCCCCCTCGGGGGTTGAGAAGGACAGGGTAGAAATACGCGAAATAAATAAATAAAATAAATAAAGCTATTGTCCTCCAAACCCTGCGAGACTTGGACAGTCTACAGACGTCACATCCATCTCCTGGAACGATTCCATCAGCGCTGCCTCCAGAAAATCCTGCAAATTTCTTGGGAAGATAAGCGGACAAATGTCAGCATACTGGAAGAAGCAAAGACCACCAGCATTGAAGCGATTGTCCTCTGCCATCAACTCCGCTGGACTGGCCATGTTGTCCACCACCATCTCCCAAAGCAGTTGCTCTACTCCGAACTCAAGAATGGAAAACCAAATGTTGGAGGACAGGAAAAGAGATTTAAAGATGGGCTCAAAGCCAACCTTAAAAACCTTAAAAACTCTGGCATAGACACTGAGAACTGGGAAGCCCTGGCCCTTGAGCGCTCCAGCTGGAGGTCAGCTGTGACCAGCAGTGCTGCAGAATTTGAAGAGGCACGAATGGAGGGCGAAAGAGAGAAACGTGCCAAGAGGAAGGCGCATCAAGCCAACCCCGACCGGAACCGCCTCCCACCTGGAAACCGATGCCCCCACTGCGGGAGAAGATGCAGATCAAGAATAGGGCTCCACAGTCACCTGCGGACCCACTGACAGAACACCGACCTTGGAGGACCATCATCCTTGGACTACGAGGGATCGCCTAAGGAAGGAAGTTTAAAATGAAAAGGCTGTTGTCAGAAAACTGCTCGCATGGTTACATATAACATGTTAAATAATAAATGCTCTGCAACCTTTAAGATTTTCTTTTCTGGAAGCTATATCTAGGAAGCTTTCATCTATAAATCCATGGTCCAATACCTATAGAATCTTGAAGAATCTGATTTCCCCCCCTAGTTTTTCTGTATTCATAAATGCTTCATTTTTGTAATTTTCACTAGGTTTAACCCTGTGCTGTTTTGGGCATAAAAACACCTCTGAGTCCATTGTAGCTCTCACAATTTCTGCTTCTTTCAAAAATTAAACCTTGCTGGCATAGTGGTTCATTTAGTTGATGCCACATGCAGCTGGCATCTGCTATATAGTAATAAGAATAAAGAAGAAAATCAAAATGCCTCTGAACGCATGCAGAGTGCCTTTGCCTTTCTACCCAGTAAGCGGCAGCCTCTGCATCACAGAAAATTAAATAGAAGGGGTAATAGCACAGATGGTATTGTTTCACACAAGTTCTTTGGCCTTTGCAGATCTCTTTTTAAAAATTAAACATTGCTGCTGCTTCTGTGACAAGCCCAGTAAGCATCTTCCTTTCTCAAAATTAGGGTTGAAAGGTCTAGGAAACATCGTCTTGTCCTTTCTTCCAAACTGCACTGCAGATTTTTCGTCTTTTGTTCCTCCCTTCAGTAGCTGGCTTTTACACCTTTCATTCCCCCCACCAGCAGTCTCTAGAATTAGTACCCAGCTTCTGAGCTTTATTCCATTCTGATGTAGAAAGTCTATTTGTAGATGTAGAAAGGAGAGAATGAGAGAAGCCAGCTCCCAGTAAGTAGACTTGGAGAACTGAAGAAGGTCTGCAAAGGTGCAGGGAATGTCTGAAAACAAATTTTGAAATTGCCCACTACCTTTTTTCCATCCAATTTTGCCTATGATGAGGGACAAAACTAAAGTACTGTATTATTTCATGATTAATAAAGTTTAAGAATAGAGTTAAGGCTATGTTTTATTTGCTCATGCCTCATAAAGTCAGGCAGTCAGAAGCTAAGGCTAATGCCCAAATTAATCACAATTGCTCTAGTTATTGGGGTCTCTTAAAAACCATTGCTTGCAGTCAAAACTGCAAACATTGCACTCCCCATCAGTGGCAATAGTACTTCCCACTTCTGTTACCTTAGAGAAACCTCCTCCACTTTAATTTTTGAAAGTGGAGATGTTATCTAAGCTTCAAAACACCAATCTATATCTTTAAAACCACAATTAAGAATTTTAGCAGTTTGACACCATAGCTCCTACTATAGCTCCTATTCTTTGGGATCCTGGGATTTGTAATTTGTTGTGGCACCAGAGCTCTCTAACAGAGAAGGTAAATATCTCTCAAGCTACAAATCCTAGAATTCAAATCCTAGCATTGAGTCATTGGTGGTCAATGTAGTGTCAAACTGTTTCAGTTCTGCAGTGTGGATACAGACTGACACAGAACTTGCCCAGCAACTAAATGAGTAGCATAACCCCCCCCCCCCTAAAAAAAACCATAGTCTTTTAAATATTAAGTTCCCGGCATCTGCATTTCTCTCTCTCTTGAATCCAACATGGCTGGCACACAAGATCTACTCACAATAGTCACTCTTTTCTCTTTTTTTTCATCATCAACTTTCCATACACAACTCTGTATAGCTTCTGGACTAGTCTTTGCTTCCTCTCCTTTTCTTAAGATTGTATCTCCCACCATTCTGCCATTTTTGTCCCTTTTCTTCCTTCTCCCTCCCTGTTGGCTCATGGCCATTTCCAACCTGGTTTCCTCCAATTCCATCAAGGTTTCCTAGCTCTCACTGATCCCCCTTGAGTTTCATCAACTTAGGCTTTTTGACATAATATCTACTTATTATTTGTTGATATGTCTGGCATTTTCAAAGCAAAATCCCTACTTAGGATCTTTTAGCAGATAAGTTTAAAAAGACAGGAAAGCTTAGAGAAGACAATTATGCTGGGGAAAATGGAAGGAAAAGGGAAGAGGGGCCGACCAAGGGCAAGATGGATGGCTGGCAGGCCCGTAGCCAGGATCTCGATTCGGGGGGGGCGGGGCTGAGTTTGTTTTTTTTTGGGGGGGGCTGAGTCTGAGTGAAAGAGGGTCTACCCTAGCAAACCTTCTGTATCATTACCCCAATAACCCCATGCATATGGGATATATTGAGTATAGTGATCAGATCATGATATGAATAAACATAGCAGTTTAAATAATGCACCAGTAAGGTCCCCCCGGCTACATACCTGATGGATGGTATCCTTGAAGTGACTGGCTTGCCCTTGAAGGAGCTGGGGGTGGTGAAGGCTGACAGGGAGCTCTGGCGTGGAATGGTCCACGAGGTCACGAAGAGTTGGAAGCAACAGAATGAATTAACAACAAAAGCAGATAAATTATATGTGATTCTTTTTGGTGATCCTGAGAGTATAAGAAACATCTTGCTGAGTAGGATAAAAGACTCCCAAGTTCAACATACTTCATAATATTACTAATAATATTATTAGTACTAATAATATTACTACTAATAATATTACTTTTTATTATCCATGCAAATTATCAGAGACTTATTAGTAGGATACAACATGTTTTTTTTGCCAATGTCTGCTTTATTAGCAGAGACGGCCCTAGGTAATTTTCAACGGTAAGCAAACAGTATTTTGGCGCCCCCCCCCCCAACCAATCACTGATATATATTTTCTGTTCATCGTGGGAGTTCTGTGTGCCATATTTGGTTCAATTCCATCATAGGTGGAGTTCAGAATGCTCTTTGATTGTAGGTGAATTATACATTCCAGTAACTACAACTCTCATATGTCAAGGTCTATTTTCCCCCAAGAGCGCCTCAAGAGCGCCCCTGGGCAAAATCAACCATACTGCAAATGCTTACTTTGCGTAAAGGGTTGAGCCGCCTCTGTTTATTAGTTATAATTTATCTCAACAACCTTTGGCATATAGTGTGGAAGTACACAGATCCCATGTAGTCCAGGCAAACAAAATGGATTTTAATAAAACCATGACTTTTTATCACACATTAGAAATTGTATGATATCAAACTTGGTTCAGTCATGAATTTCATCTGACTTCTTTCCTAACCCACAAATCTCAAAAGTACTAAGGGACAGGAGTGTTTTAATAACATTGTAGGAAAGAAGCATGCTGATTGCAACTCTTGAACATTGCATTTGTTTGACATTTCTATTTAGGAACTGGCTATCTGCTAATGGCTACTTAGACTGGTCCTTAGTCACATTATTTACTTGTTGCTGCACTGCGGGTAAAAGCTTCCATGTGTTGTGGGTCTTTTAAATCTTTAAGGAAAAAAAAGAAGGAACATGTTTTCATTTATTTAATTTCAGGTATGAACTGATGCAGAGAGGTATGCTTGAACCCAAAGACATTGGATTTGTTCCAGATGCCTACACCTGCAATCAACAGCTGGAGAGGGAAAACAAATGTTTAAGGAAGGAAATGGAGAGCTATAAATTTGCAGCCAAGTATGTTGTTTCTATTGTTAATGGATCTTCTGTTTTTCACTTGGGGCTAGATCTTGCCAAATTAAGAAAATGAAGTCTTTTTAATTTCTTATGTTAATCTCTTTGAGACTTAGCCATTTGCACAAGTTAGAGATAAATTTAACTGCAAGGACTCCAGACAGTTAATTGAGGTCAGTGGCATGCTTAGGTTTGACTGAACTGTGCCCACATAATCAGTTATAATGAAGTGCCAACTGGGCAGATTTATGGAAACCATGAATCACATGGTAGGAACAAGACAGATTTGAGGTATCCCAGATAATTACAAAAATGTCTTGGTGAATTGTTCTTAACCTTTAGTACTTCAAATGTTTTGAACTTCCACTGCCAGAAACCTCTGGTGGAATTTTCAATGGCCAGGGATTCTGAAAGCTGAAGTCCCAAACAGCTGAAGGTTGAGAATCACTGCTCTTGACTCATCTCAGTTTGTGTATCCAATCCACAAATAGAATTAGTTGAATGGAGTTTAGAAAACAGAGCAAAGTGGAATTTAACAAAGTGGGATTCTGGATCCAGATAGTAATGATAATCAGAAACATAAGCGGCTTGGCCAACAAAGCTTCAGTTTATGCTTTTGAGAACTCTTATAACTTATGATTGAATAAGTAATTACTTTTTATAAATAAATACAGTAACTGATCTTCCTTTGACTGAAAAAATGGGTAATGTGCCTTCCTTGCTCTATACAAGTGTGAATGGAATATCAGCAAGGCAAACAAATTGAGGAAGTAGAACTGAGCAATAGTGTAGTCTCTGCTGTGGTAGACATGTACAGTATTGAAGAGAAAGATTGTAGTGTTGAAGTTCATGGGGGAATAAGCTCCTGCTATCGGAAAACATGCAATGTTAGCTTAGCAAGAGATTGCATGCTTATATTTTCAAAGATGCTATCAACCGTTTGTGCCCCAACAAAATATATGAAACAGAAAACATAACTGTGGACAAAATAATATACCAACAAAATGTACCAATATTGCACATTGTATTAAAAATTCCCTGTATTTTTCAATTCCGTATTATTTTTTTGAAATGCAAGATGTCTATATTGCATCTTTCTAAAAAAGAAAGGAGTGTAAGTATAATATAAGAATGTAAGTTTTATGAGAATAGGGAAACTGGTAGCATCATTTACTTTCTCATGTGTATGTACTAAAATCTTTCAAAATATGACACAATTCACATTTTATATGAAGGGTGGAAATCCATTATGCTGCAAAGGGTTAGTGGTAAATTGTCCTTTAGAGATTAATTTGTCATTGAAAAGTGTTTGTTGCATCTATCTCTGTGTTCGCTCCTGGACAAAACTGAACTTTCCAGGGATCAACAAAAACATTATTGTGGATGTGTGCATGTGTACACTGAGCAATAGTTATTTTTTGAACCAAGCAGCTCTCAGTGCAATAATATTTCTTTTGGAATGCATTTTTATGGGGACACGGTGCAGACATGTTAATCATTTGTGCCTAGATGAGGGGTCCTCAAATTTTTTAAGCCAAGAACCAATTCACAGTCCCTCAGACTGTTGGAGAGATGGACTATACTTTAAAAAAAATGTTGAACAATCTCTATGCACTCTAGGTAAAGGTAAAGGTAGTCCCCTGACATTAAGTCCAGTCATGTCTGACTCTGGGGTGTGGTGCTCATCTCCATTTCTAAGCCGAAGAGCCAGCGTTGTCTGTAGACACCTCCAAGGTCATGTGGCCGGCATGACTGCATGGAGCGCCGTTACCTTCCTGCCGGAGCGGTACCTATTGATCTACTCACATTTGCATGTTTTCGAACTGCTAGGTTGCCAGAAGCTAGGGCTGACAGTGGAAGCTCACGCCGCTCCCTGGAATTGAACCTGCGACCTTTCGATCAACAAGCTCAGCAGCTCAGTGCTTTAACCCACTGCGCCACCGGGGGCTCCCTATGCACTTTACATATATTTTATTTGTAGTGCAAAAAATATGAAAGAACAATACAATATTTAAAATGAAGATTAATTTTAACCAACATATACCTACCAGTATTTCAATGGAAAGTGTGGGCTTGCTTTTGGCTGATGAGAGAGTTAAGTTAATTGGGATTGTTGTTGTTGTGTGCTTTCAAGTCATTTCAGACTTAGGGCAACCCTAAGCCTAAAGTTGCCCTAAGCAATCCAAGAACAAGCATGTATTAAGCAGGATAAAAAGTTTTGCTGTAATTGAATATAGGACCGGACAACTCCAAAACAACACCAGTGTAAGGAATAAAGATAGAAAATTTCTGCACATCAAATGTGTCAGAGAAGATATTTTGTGACATTGTCTGCTCTAAAACCCAAGTCAAAGAGAAATAGTGGACTGGTGTGTGAATGGTTTGTCCATGTAGTACCTTGGTTTCAATGTTTTGTATCTAACCCTAGTGGTTAACATCTGCATGTTTAAGTAAAGAAAACAAAGGCTTCTGCAACTGCTTCAGATAGCAGGTTGCTTTGATTAAGAACTTTGAATTGACATTTTGCTTTATTTCACATTTGGAGCAGAGCTTTGTTTCTCTAGATCAGGGGTCCTCAAACTTTTTAAACAGAGGGCCAGGTCACAATCCCTCAAACTGAAGGAGGGCCGGATTATAATTTCAAAAAAATTGGAATGAATTCCTATGCACACTGCACATAACTTCTTTGTAGTGCAAAAACACTTAAAACAATACAATAATTAAAATGAAGAAAATTTTAACAAATATAAACTTTTTAATATTTCAATGGGGAGTGTGGGTCTACTTTTGGCTGATGAGATAGGATTATTGTTGCTGTGTGCTTTCAAGTTGTTTCAGACATAGGTTGACCCTGAGCGAGGGCCGGGTAAATGACCTTGGAGGGCTGTATCTGGGCCCCGGGCCTTAGTTTGAGGACCCCTGCTCTCGATCAATCTTTTAATGTCTTTCCTGCTGAATATAATACAGTGAGGTGGGGATGGGGAATGAACAAATGTCTGTACTGGCATTGATATGCACTTCTTAAGTTCTGAGCCTTCAAGGCAGAGTAAATTTCAACTAGCAAGTCCATTTCCGTAGGATTTCACATACCCTACATTGCCTAGATTGCTTACCAATCTGTGATTTGTCCAAAGAGATCATTTAGGGCCCATCCAAATAGGGCTCAAAATGCACAAACTCCTGCACTTTTACCAGAGGTGCCCACACAACGACTCCGTTTAAAAGAAATAATTTGTGATAAAGCACGAAAACAAATGTTGTAATAGGAGGAGGGGGGATCACTCCTGGCCCCCATGCTTCCTGGCGCAACATTGGTATGTACCATGAAGTCTCCAGAGATGCCTAAAGCGGGGATTTGGGTTGTTTCCATTCCAGCGGGGTAGTTACTGTTCTGCAATGGGGACAACCCATGGAAACATTGGTTTGTTTTCCCAGGATGTGGGGACTTAAACCTACTTTGGAGCAGGTTGAATATATGTTTGGAAGTGCCCTTAGAGATTATGGTAGCAGCTGGAGCTACTGTTGGAAGCTAAATCAGATCAGTCTTTCCCACAAGGTCATGGAATAAGGATGGAGTAAGCCAAGAAGACATGGGAATACTTTTAATTTGAAGGGAAACAGCAAAGAAGGTTCCCTGCTTAGATTTGTGTGCCGTAGGTACCTTGCTGTTTTGCTCACTCACTGAAACATAACTAGTTAGAGCAGAAATTCACAGCCTGACCTGAATCCTGTCTTCTCTTTGGGTTCATTTTTAGTTGAATTTTGACTGTTTTGTGTGATACTGAGAATCCTCATGTAAAATACAGTTTTCCTGGAAAAAGATTATACATTTATTGAAAAAGTCATAACTGCATCTTACTCCTTGCAGCAAAGCTAAAGAAACACTTGTCAAGCTGCAGAAAGAGCGTGACTTCCATCGAATGCATCACAAGCGAGTGGTCCAGGAAAAGAACAGGCTCATTAATGACATTAAAAGGTAAGCAGTTGAAAACATGATTCTAATCCAACATGATTTTCAGAAAAAAACCCAATTCATTACTAAAGATGTATGTATATAACTTCATAGAGTGTGCCTGCTCAATATGTTGGCTGGAATGTTGTGCTTTCTTTTAGGATCTTCCATCTCTGCCCCCACCCCCCAATTTTTCTGATCATCATCCAGTTTACCAAGCTCTCAATGCACTGCAGCATATTGAATATTGTGCCAGTATCAGCTGCTGCTGATGGCATTATGCCACCTTCATTGTGGCAAATCAGCCTTCTCTGTGCATAATAAATTGTATTGACACTACCCGCTGTTGGTGACAATATCTTATATCAGAGAATCTCAGCTGTAATAGTAGTTTACACATCTTACTTCAGTATGACAATAACTGCAGTACATATCTTCCATCTCCTCTGCTCTTGTTTCTCTGATCAGACCTCTTTCAGTCTGCCATCTTTATGTGTCAACATTCTTCATTGATATGACAAAGGCACCTCCTTACTATTTTTTAGCTATTCTAGAGTAATCTAGAATATATTAGGCCTAAGAAGAAAACTGGGAACAAATCCTGCTGCTGATGTCTTTCCTTCAATTTTGTCAGTGGGGAAAATGAAAGTTTGGGGCAGCACTGTGAGAAATCCATATAAAATTAGAACATAAAATGACTAAAAAGATTAACAAGTTAAAATATATGTTAAAGAACTATAGAAAAATGAAACAAAGTGCTCATGCAGTAAAACGTCATTTCTGGAGCAAGTGAGGTTGCCAAAGGCATACTTGAATAGAAGTCCTTTGCTTGCAGAGTGACAATAGATTTAGAGCGAAGGTACTCCAAACTGATATCACAGCTGAACCAGAATGCCAATCATATGGAACCTCTCATATGGTAAAATACTTAAGGTCAGTTGAGAAGGAGTTATGAATAGAGAGTTGCAGTTCCTGTAAATGATGGCAATCCTTCATCCCTAACTCTAGTCTAAAAGCTTAGTTTTTTTACAGCACTTAACTAGCATAAGAGATGGAGAAAGATGAGGAAGATCAGCACCTCTACTCATCTGTCCAGATCTCTGTACTGTATCTTAGATTAGTCTTCTTTTCCACAGTGATACTGTGGATGATAGTTGTTGTGTTGTGATGCTAAACAGAAGAACTGGAGTTCAGGTTTAAAGGACATCTCAAAACCTGCTGGACTGAAAAAGGGACCTCTTTTATTTTTACAGGTTTTTTTTCTTGGATTCATATGCTACTTTTTTCCAGATTATAATTCAAGGCATTTTATTATACAAGCAGTCCCCAAGTTATTAACAAGATAGGTTCTGTAGGTTTGTTCTTAAGCTGAATTTGTATGTCTGTCAGAACAGGTAAAAATTTCAGAGTAAATTTTGAAAACAATGGCTTGTTCTGGAAACAAGGATTGGTAATAAAGCTTAAGTGGAGACACCTTTTCCCCATGATAACTTTTTTCAGGAATGAATTTTCCTTTCTAGTAGTAAATTACTCACACTTCCTGTTGTCTCATCCCCACCCTTAACTAAGAGTCATTGGGATGTTTGTAACTTGGGGAAAGCCTGTAATTTGAAAAGGTTACCATTAAAACAATTATTTTTGAAAAAAAAGTCAAAAAAGAACTTAAAGTAGTCAAAACACTTAATCATTTCTCCCTCATCTGTCCCTGTCAAATGTCATTTCCTTTTTCTAGAGATTTTGGTAGTGTTGCATCTCCTTTGTAAGGAATCAAAAGGTAATGTGGACATGGTTCCTTTGCTCTTGACATTGTTTCATAGCTAAGTTCTTATTTAGAAAGAAATTGTAAAGAAAAAAGCAACAATAATAAAAAACAGAATTTTTATCTTATGTAATACTAAAACTACACAGCCATCTAACTAACTTGAGGAAATACATTCTCTAAATCAATTTTAGTCTGGTTTCAGGCCTGGTTATGGGACGGATTTGGTCACCTTGGTGGATTACCTAGGCAGAGAACTATACAGGGGGAGTGTATTCTTATTTGTTCTCCTGTACCTCTTGGCAGGTTTTAATACCATCAGCCATGGTATCCTTCTGTGATACATTGCTGAGATGGGACTTGGAGGCCCTTTTTTCTAGAGTGGATCTACTCTTTCCTAAAGAGGCAAACCCAAAACATGGTGCTTGGAGACTCCTGTTTGAACCTTTGCCCATTGCTCTGTGGGGTCCCTTAGTACTCTGTTTTGTCCCACCTGCTTTTCCACATATAGTTGAAACTGCTGGGTCATCCATAGTTTGGAGTGCAGTTCCATCTATATGCAGATAACACCCAACTTTACTACTCCTTTCCATCCAAAGCCAATAAAACTTAAGACCAGGATGGTCTTAAACCAGTGTCTGTGATAAGTAATGGACTGGATGACATCCAACAAATTGAAAATTAATCCAGACAAGACAGAGGTACTCTTGATCAGTTGGAAGGCAGATTTTTATTTATCGTGTCATCAGCAACCATACCATTGTATTACATTTCTAACAGAACAAAACAAACAGATTTTTTTTTAAAAAAACCCACAGATTTTGCAAACTTGGTAGTTGATTAAATGTCCTTTGATCAGTAACTGGCCACTTGGAGTGCCTCTGGTGTTGCCGCAAGAAGGTCCTCCATTGTGCATGTGGCAGGGCTCAGTGGTTTGTTCTTCTCCGCACTTGCATGCCGTGGATTCCACCCTGTAGCCCCATTTCTTAAGATTGGCTCTGCATCTCGTGGTGCCAGAGCGCAGTCTGTTCAGCGCCTTCCAAGTCGCCCAGTCTTCTGTGTGTTCAGGGGAGAAGGCAGATCAGGGTTTAGGGATCAAGCTGTGTTAGATGGGGTTCCCTCTAAAGACTTCTAACTGAGCCTGTTCCTTGTTGGATCTGGTTATGGTGGCACGTACCTTAGTTGCATTTTGTTTGGATTACTGTAACATGCTCTATGTGGGGCTGCCTAAGAAGAATAAACATGGCCAGCAGTATGTTTGGTAATGGCTCGATTGCTGCTGGGGGCAGGTCTCCAGCAGAGGAGAAGTCTTCCCAGTTTTGCAACAAAGGGTTAATCAGGCTTTGGAATATAGGCTCTGGTGATTACTTGTGAAGACTTGCTGAAACAGGTGGCAGTGGAGACCTCATGATAAAAGGGTCTGGAGAATGGCTCTTGGTTGCAGATAACTTTGTATTTTTGTTCTTGAATTTGGCTCTGCTGCTTCTGGGTTAAATTTCTGGACTGTTTAGAGTCTTTAGGTTTTATATTGCATATTTCATTATTTTAGCACTGTTCATCACTTTGAGTTCATTGAAATGAGCAAATGAATGTCTCCAAATCCCACATTCCAGGAGAAAATCTCCATCAGTCCAAAGGTAGCAGTAATCTCTGCAGGTAGTGGCTTTTCCCTTAAGACAGTGTTTCTCAACCTTCCTAATGCTGCGACCCCTTAATACAGTTCTTCATGTTGTGGTGGCCCTCAACCATAAAATTATTTTTGTTGCTATTTCACAACTGTAATTTTGCTACTGTTATGAATCATCATATAAATATCTCATATGCAGGATGTATTTGATACAAATATGTGCGAGATGCCAAAATTTGAATACTGGTGGGGTTGTGGGGGCGGGATAATTGATTTTGTCATTTGGGAGTTGTAGTTGCTGGGATTTATAGTACACCTACAATCAAACAGCATTCTGAACTCCATCAATGAGGGAATTGAACCAAACTTAGCACGGATACTCAATATGCTCACATGTGAACACTAGTGGATTTGGAGAAAAGAGGCCTTGACATTTGGGAGCTGTAGTTGCTGGGATTTATAGTTCACCTACACTCAAAGTACCCCTTGAATCCCACCAATGATAGAATTGGGCCAAACGTCCCACATAGAACCCCCATGATCAGGAGAAGATACTGCAGGGATCAGGGAGGAATTGACAGTGATTTAGGGGAGATGTAGTTCACCTACCTCCGGAGAGCACTGTGTTCCTAAGACCATCAGAAATATGTGTTTTCTGATGGTCTTTGGTGACCCCTCTGACACCCTCCCGCGACCCCCTTAGGGGTCCCAGCCCCCAGGTTGAGAAACGCTGCCTTAAGAGCTTCCTGAAAGGAATGCCTTTTCGTCATCATCTTTCTGAGGTTCTGGATTTTAAGAATTAAACAAAGCATTATTTTAACAGATAACTTTGATAGAACCCGATGACCACTACTAAACATTCTACATGTCATGGCTAGAGGTTTGTCTGGCCTGGCTTAGCCTGGCTTTCCTTCCCAAAGAATGCATCCCAGACTTCTGTGATGATCTGTACAGATTTGATGATATGAGCAGCTGAGATATCTGGATAAATATGGGGTTTGGAACAGATAACTTTGGTAGCAGATAATGTTGTACTTTGGTACACATGCCTTGGACTGTTACCCCTGGGTTAGAACGCTGGACCCTAATCTTGTTCCTGTAATCCTGTTTTGGACTCTGCCTCTCCTGTAACCTTGTCTTGGACCTTGTTTCCTGAACCCTGGAATCTGAATCTTGGACTACCTTCCTGGCTTTGAGGTATGAAGTTGGCATTTACTTTGACTGTTGGCTATCTGATTTGATCTTGGAACTTTGATAGTACTTTGTACTCTTGAATTCTGGAACATTATTCTAAGTGAATTTTTGGCACCAGACTTTTGGACTGCAAAAAGGACTACCATTTATTCTTACTCCTGAACTGGCTTTGTAGTACTCTCAGCATAATTGGACTCTTGACCTTGATTTGTGTTACTGCAGTCATGTGTTCTGTTTCTGTTTTGTTAGTCAGACCTTTGAAAGACTTAATATTTCAGTTTTCGGTTTAAGTAAATGTGGTCTTGCCTCATCCTGTGTTTGTTTGATAAAAACCCCCGGAGCATGACACTGCAGTTGGAAGAAGTTTGTCTTTCAACTGCAGTGGAAGGTTAAAGGCAATATACTATTTTTTTCTTGTGCAGTGACTGTGATAATAGAAGCTTATAGTTCTGTGATGAATATTCTGCTTTACAACCTTAATTGCCATGCATTAAAAATGTATAAGCTGCTTGAGTCAAGAATGGGTGAACATCATAGGATGGAGTTATTGACGAGAGGATCATTGGTCATTTGAAGACATCGAAAGCGCCTTAATCTGGCAACTCCTCAGAAAGTAAGAATTCTTTGTTGATGATACCAGAACAGCTGGTTGGAGAAAATTGTGCTTCTTGGAATCTGAGGCTATGGCTTTAGAGAGAATCAACATGAACAGGCAGCTTGTAGGTGTTTTAGAGATCTAGACATTAACATATTTTTATGACGTTCAACCAATTTATGTTAAAAATCAGAAGAAAGTGTTCATAAGAATATATGATGCTTGTGTTATGATTGAAATTGTTTCTAGGGTTTCCTTAAATTAGTAATGAATAACATCCATTTAAAGGCAATCTTGTCCTGTACTCTGGCTATAGCAGGGGTCCTCAAACTAAGGCCCGGGGCCAGATATGGCCCTCCAAGGTCATTTACCCAAGCCTTGCTCAGGGTCAACCTAAGTCTGAAACAACTTGAAAGCACAACCACAACAATCCTATCTCATCAGCCAAAAGCAAGCCCTCAGTTCCCATTGAAATATTAATAAGTTTATATATGATAAGATTGTTCTTCATTTTAATTATTGTATTGTTTTTAAGTGTTTTTAAGTGGGTTTTTTTCACTACAAATACTGTAAGATATGTGCAGTGTGCATAGGAATTTATTCATGTTCTTTTCAAATTGTAATCCAGCCCTCCAACAGTTTGAGGGACTGTGATCTGGCCCTCTGTTTAAAAAGTTTGAGGACCCCTGGGCTATAGTATCATGTATCCCCAGCTGAAGGATAGTGAGGAAAAGATTTCCAACAATTTGGAATGTGATTCTGTCTCTTTGTAAAGAGGAGAAGGTACCAAGATCAGGATTTTTTTTGCATATTTAGGGAGTTAAAAAAATGAATGCTTGTCATTATCATAAATCATTTCTAGAGTTGTAAAGTTGCATGAAAGAAATACAGTGCAATCTCAATTTTCCTTCAAGGCAATCAGAAATTCAGCATTTGCAGTCATGATACGTATTTTCCCTCTATTTCTTTATTGTGTATAGGTTAAAGGCACATTATGCATCGTATGAACCAATGTTAAGGCAGCTGAAATTAAAATACGAACATCTTCTAAGAGAAAAAGTGCTTACAAGTTTGGAACGAGATAGAGTTGTTGGCGAGGTAAAACTGTTACTGCTTTCAACTTAAACATTCATGAAAATCATTGATATTTTGAGGTATTTCATTATAATTTGTTCAGTTGATTTGTATTATTCAGTTAAGTACCCACTATGACACTACCTTTCTGTGGTGACAGAATTACATGCTTCCGTGGCCACTTCTGCACTGCCATATAAAATCCAGATTATTTGCTTTGAACTGGATTATATGGCAGTGTAGAAGGAGCCTGTGAGGCTATGCTGATGTGCCATTGACAGTGATGTAACCTCCCAGGTCAACCAGGATTTTGCTAAGGAACCAGACTACATGTACCAAACACAGCAGTAATGGAAAGTGACACTGGTGAAGGATCTTTCAGGCCACTTCTACACTGCCATATAATTTGGATTATCAAGATGACAACCCACATTATCTGCTTTGAATTGGATTATATGAGTCTACATTCCTATATAATCCAATTCAATGTTGATAATCTGGATTTTATATGGCAGTGTAGAATGGGCCTCAGAGATAATGGCAGTGGCACCATAATTAATGCTAGCTAGTACTACATAGAAGAAAAGAGTATTCTCCTAGTGTTGGACAGAATGTGATAATATATACCATATACATTTTTGTCCCAGTTAGACACAGCTGCTATGCAGTTGAGAGAAGAGCCATACAGAGGCCATTCTGGTCAGTCGCAAGGCCGAACAGGGTATAGGGTTACAGCCTGTGTTAGACGGGGTTACACTCCCCCTGAAGACGCAGGTTCGCAGCTTGGGAGTGATCCTGGACTCATCGCTGAGCCTGGAACCCCAGGTCTCAGCGGTGGCCGGGAGAGCTTTCGCACAATTAAAACTTGTGCGCCAGCTGCGCCCGTACCTTGGGAAGTCAGATCTGGCCACGGTGGTCCACGCTCTTGTCACATCCCGGTTGGATTACTGCAACGCACTCTACGTGGGGTTGCCTTTGAAGACTGCTCGGAAACTTCAACTAGTCCAGCGAGAAGCAGCCAGATTGCTCACCGGAGCGGCGTACAGGGAGCATACCACCCCCCTGTTGCGTCAGCTCCACTGGCTGCCGATCCAATTCCGAGCACAATTCAAAGTGCTGGTTTTGACCTACAAAACCCTATACGGTTCCGGCCCAGTGTATTTGTCCGAACGGATCTCCCTCTACATCCCACCTCGAAGTTTAAGATCTTCTGGGGAGGCCCTGCTCTCGACCCCGCCACTCTCACAAGTGAGGTTGGCGGGGATGAGGAGCAGGGCCTTCTCAGTGGTGGCCCCCCACCTGTGGAACTCACTCCCCGGGGAGATTAGATCGGCGACCTCCCTTCTGGCATTCAGGAAAAAACTGAAGACCTGGGTTTGGGATCAAGCCTTTGGACACACTGGCAACTAAATTAAGGATCTGACGACAGACAAGGACAAATGGAATGGAATGGATATATGGACTCTGAACCCGAGCATGAGATTGTCTTAATATTTTATTATGCACTGATGTTTTAATTTAACTGTTGAATTGCTTTTTTGTATTTTGTATTGCTGTCAATTGATTTAGGCATCTAATTGTGCCTCCTCTGTAAGCCGCCCTGAGTCCCCCCCCCCGGGGTGAGAAGGGCGGGGTATAAGTAAATGAAATAAATAAATAAATAATAAATTCTTATTAAGCAAAAATAGGTTTTGAGATGCTCAGACCTGAGTATTATATATTCAAGATGCACTTTGTGCTGAAAAACTGTCATTTGCACAAGACCTGAAAGGAGAGTGGAAAAGAAAGGACAATTCCTGCCTTGCTGTGCCAAGATCCTGACTGAAATGGGAAATAACTTTCCCCCCGCTCTTTCACTGCGCTGACTGAATGTATGGAAGAGGAAGAGTTCATAATGTACATTTTGATGGATTATTATTCTGTGTTTCTCAGTACAGGATTTTAGATTCTTAGCATATTTATATATCACATACTTAGTATTTTTCTCAGCAGGAGAATTTTAAGTAAAATTCTCTTTTTATCCTTTCCATTTCTTAGATTACAGGCTTGCAAGCAACATTACAAAGATTAGAGTGTGGCAGCAACACTCACATTCCTGTGTCTAGAGGTAAGCATTCCATTCTTTTCAGAAATTCAGGACTTGGAGAAAATTTTTTGGATCTGAAATATGAACGATACAATTTGATGTGCTTATTTAATTTATATCTTGTCTTTCTTCTGATATGGTACTCAAAGTGGCTTATAACAAACTTTAAAAAATATGGTTAATAGTCTGATTTTTTTTTTGGTGTGAGGAGTGACTTGAGAAACTACAAGTCTCTTCTGGTGTGAGAGAATTGGCTGTCTTCAAGGGTGTTGCTCAGGGGATGCCTGGATGTTTGATGTTTTACCATCCTTTTGAGAGGCTTCTCTCATGTCGCTGTCAGTCAGCAGTCCTGCTGGCACAAGAGTTTAACCCATTGTGCCATCATAGCCTGACAAAATATGCCTTTTGAAAAAGATCATATTAAAAGGTTAATAATTTAAAATAGCATAAAATCATTAAAACATGACTATAAGAATGAAAAGTATTGCACACACATCTCAATAAATGACCCTTTGTGACAGATCATTTGTTCCAGGCTGGCTGCACAATTCCAACTCTGAGAATTCTGCAGTGCACCCTACCCAGGCTTCCCTTTCTGGATGGAGTTCCTGAACCTCAGGGTCACTCTTTGAATGTGCACATGTGGCTGTGATGTTGTGAATGTTCTTTATAATAAAGAATTCTTATCAATTTTGATATGGATAACCAAAGAATAACAAATGTCAGTGTATTGGAAGACAGCAAGAAAACACACTAACATCTGGATGTTCTATTCTTTCAAGTCTCCTGATTACGGAGCCATTTTTCCTTTCAGATTAATTGCCCTGCCTCTGCAAAATTGGAGCTGTTGTTCATTCCTTCAATCACTTCTGACTCTTCGGGACCTCATGGACCAGCCCACGCCATAGCTCCCTGTTGGCCGTGACCACCCCCAGCTCCTTCAAGGTCAAGCCAGTCACTTCAAGGATACCATCCATCCATCTTGCCCTTGGTCGGCCCCTCTTCCTTTTTCCTTCCATTTTCCCCAGCATCATCTAAGCTTTCCTGTCTCCTCATTATGTGGTCAAAATACTTCATCTTGACCTCTACTATCCTTTCCTCCAATGAGCAGTCAGGCTTTATTTCCTGAAGTATGGATTGGTTGGATCTTCTGGCGGTCCAAGGCACTCTCAGAACTTTCCTCCAAGAACACTCCACACTAAACAAGTTTAAAAGGAGCAATACAAAAGTTTAAAAAAACAATTAAATAACAATGTGGTAAAAACAGAATGGAAATAAAGTAAATTAACACATTAAAATGGCTTTTAAAATTCATATCCCCCCAATTCCCACCCCACCTCCCCAAAGCCTGCCCCTTACCCTTCCCTAAATGCCTGCAGACATAAAAAGGTCTTGTCACCTGTGTCCTCTGTCAAATTCACCCCATCTCTATCAAAGCCAAATTTCTCTGCCGTCCTAGGCTCTATAGTTTTGTTACATTCTTTTCACCCCTTCACAGCACTTCCTGAACTGTGATTGAGGCCCCTTCCACACATCTGTATGTCCACGTTGACAGTGTGGGTTCATATAATCCAGTTCAAAGCAGATATTGTGGATTATATGTTTTGATATTCTGGGTTATATGGCTGGGTGGAAGGACCTTGAGTGTCCTCTACTAGATCTGGCCAGCACCTCTTTTATACCTTTAATCAGCAAATGCATGTTTAAATAGAACGAGCGTATGGGGCATCCTAGCCTCCTTTGGAGAGAAATTCTTCAGCCAGGGAATAGCCACTGAAAGCAATTTCTTGTAAACATTGAACAGTATGAGAGACAGAAACGAGCCTTACAGGTCGTTAGCAAGAATTTTGAATAGAAATCCCCTGGCACCACTTTCTTGAGTTGGTCCATTAAAGAAGGATTGGAAGCACAGTAAAACAGTCCCATCCTGGAAAACTGGCCCAGAAGGATACCATGGTCACTAAGTACTGTACAGTGCAATACCAAAAGGGAAACATTATCTCTGTCCTGTTCCTGGTGTAAGTTATCCACTCACTTTGTCCATAACCAGGCCTGAAGCCAGGTTGACATTGATCTAGATAATCTATTTCATCCAGGGACCTTGGAGGTGAGAAGTCATCACAGACGCTAGAATCATGTTCAGGGCCGTAGCCAGAAAAAAAAATCGGGAGGGGTTGAAATTTGGGGGGGGTTCAAAATTTCACGGGGGGGGGGGTTGAAACCTGCCTCCTAGCTCACGCTGAATCAAAGAGCACAGCAGGGGGCAGAGCAGCCTTCAATAGCCTGCAGCTCCGCCCCTGTCAACCACTTCCACCAAGTCTGGCCTCCTTAATGAGAGCATTCAACACACACATACCCAACTTGGTTGCTTCACTACATTGGCTATTGCTGCAAGTAATGACAGTGTGAATAAATTGTCAATATTTGCTTGAGATAGTGCTTGCAGTTCTGGAGGGACTCTTAATTTTTTGCATCTCATAGACTTAGCATGGGGATTTGGTTAACCAGTTAAAATTCATGAGTAAACCAGGTTTTTTAAAAAAAATCTGAAACATTTGGGAGGGGGGGGTTGAACCCCTGACCCCCCCCCCTCGCTACAGGCCTGATCATGTTCCAGAAAGGGATATTGGAAACGGGCTGATAATTTTCTATTACAATGGGGTACTGGGTGGGTTTTTCAGTAACCAATTTACCACTGCTTCTTTCAATTAGTATCTGATTGGTATATGTCTTGTTGCATCCCAATCAGAGCAGAATTGGACAATTTTACATACATAGTGCATTGCACATTTTTTTGCATTGTGCTGTTGCATAGTTAATAAGAACAATGCGCTGGTATATTGGTTAGAAGAAGGAGCTTTTTAGACACTAAGTGACTGCAGTATCTTGCAGGCTAAATAATACAAAAAATGACAGTTCTCTGGCTTCAAGAAAGGAAAGGAAAACATATCTGGCCAAGAACAAGGATATTGTAGGAAGAATACCCACCCCCTCTGTCTTTCATTGGGGAGACTTTGCCTCTGTGAATTGTGCTTTCCTTCTGCGGAGCCTTGAGAGAGTTCTTCTTGCTTGGTCTAATCTTTACAGATTTATTCTTGCTTCTATGGAAATCTGCCTTTGCTTCTAAGTGATGGAAAATCTATTTTGGTTTGCCCCTCTGCCAATGTTTAAGCAGTTCCTAACATGGGCTGTCACTAGGAATGAAGGAGACACCTTTGGATGTGGCAAAAGAAAACATCAATGTTGTTCTATATGGAGTTTTTTTAAGGTTCCATATGCTTAAAGTTATGAATGCAGAGCTTGTGTCTCATGTGCACACAAAAAATCCCTGTGTGCAAAGGGCTGATGTAGACATGACCTCTGTCTGGCACTCTTAATTGCTGTTTTGATAAAAACCCTGCAATTTGTACAGAGCCACCACATAAGGCTGTTAAAAGGAAAGGAAGGTCCATGTGCCTTTTGTATCTCTACGCAGCTTAAGCTTTTATGTTGAACATAGACTTAAGGAATATACCCAGATCTTTAATTCATTTTAATGGCCTACTAGACTGTATAGACTGGGATAGGACACTATTATGCCCTGTGGGGATAGCTCTGCGCACAGGCTGGACTCTACAGAGCTTTTCAGTTGCTAAAAGCATGTTGCAGAGTTTAAAGATAAGACTGATTCATATCGAGCGAAAAGTGAATGTGGTCATACTGTTCATTTTGAATGGGTGCTTTTTATATTAGCAGATAAAACTTACTAAATTGAACAACTGGGACCTGACTAAAACGAGTATGTATTTTTATGTTTGGATTGCGACTGACAAATCAAAATAGGAAAACAAAATGCAGTGTATATTTCTATTGCTACATATATTCCTTTTGGTTGGCTGGAAAATGGACTGGTAGCAAATCATATTATTTGGCAAGTTTTATAAGTCTAGATTATGAACATTTCTTTTCCTTTAAATAGTTTTGTGAAATATATTTGCAAGCCTGACAATTGAACATTGATATGTTTCTTTTATGAGGCATCCATCCTCTATACTGGATTATTCTAATTTTACTCACCTTCCAGTAGCTTAAACAGAAATGACATGCTATAAAAATAAATACTCCTGTGAAATGTGATTAAACTGCAGTTCCGAGCATATTTAGAAGGAGATCTCATTGAACTCAGTGTGACTTCCTTCCAAGTAAACTGGCTTGGGGTCGGGTTACAATTGTTCTATGGTTATATGGCTAGATTTATTTTGTGTATAGTTTTGTATAAAATCATGTGCCCCTGGTGGCGCAGTGCGATAAACCCCTGTGCCGGCAGGACTGAAGACCGACAGGTCGCAGGTTCGAATCCGGGGAGAGTGCAGATGAGCTCCCTCTATCAGCTCCAGCTCCGCATGTGGGGACATGAGAGAAGCCTCCCAAAAGCATGGTAAAAGATCAAAACATCCAGGCATCCCCTGGGCAATGTCTTTGGAAACGGCCAATTCTCTCACATCAGAAGTGACTTGCGGTTTCTCAAGTCGCTCCTGACACAACAAAAAATATGCCTAGTAAAGAAAACAACAGTGCTGATTTAAATTTTAGCTACTTACTCTGAATTCCAGAATGTTCAGCAAGATTTAGTGTTTTAAGTGTTGAACTCTTAACTCTAGAGATTAGGATTCAAATTGCTACTTGGATGTCATGCTCTCGCAGCCTGTGGGGAAGCAACGGAAAATCCTCTCTAAACTTACCAAGAAAACCCTAACATAGGTTTGCCTTGGGATCACCAAGAGTTGGAAATGATTTGAAATACACAACAGCACAACAACATGGTGCCCCCCCCAACTCTGGAACTCACTCCCTAAAGATATCAGACAAGCCCCCACTTTGGCAGTCTTTAGGAGGAGCTTTAAAACATGGCTGTTCCAGTGTGCCTTCCCTGAATAAAAGAATGCCCGATCTGACCAATTTCCTTCTATATGTCCTCTGAAGCACTTTATCTATCTGTTGGATTGGTCTTCCAACATCACTCTCTAAAAACCCCATGTCTA